CAATATTACTGCAACAGCACAATTCAGTCTAACTGAACGACAGAAACATTTACCAACTTGGGTTATTTTCATAAGATTGGAGATATTGTACTGTGATGCTCACCAGGCACCGTGGGCTCTGAGTGAATACAGCAGTCATCATGTGATTGTGCTTTGTGGTCATCCAGACATGCACAGGGGATCAGCCAGTGGGATATATTCTTGGACTTGTAATCCTATACCTTTAGATGATGGATTCCACCAAAAGGTACAACAATCTGTTTACTCAACTTACACATCAGAAGAAGCAAAAATCACCATGAAAAAAGGGGCTGCAACTTCAGCATTCCACAAAAGTATAAAAAACTGCCACAATCTGACAAAGTTTGCTTGCAACTAAGGCAAGTCATGACCAAGACGAGTGTTTTGAATACCCAGTGGGGTTAGGGAGGATCCTTGAATAGAATGTTACAAAATGAGGAATACAAGAAGCTTTAAAATCTAACATCTATTATTCTAACTTTAATCCAACGCTCATAATGTTGCTTGAACATGCATCTCATATAGTTAACAGATCCTATGTTAAACTTCCAACACAGACACAATATGGCCCAATGGGCTCCTTCATAAACTTCCTATGTTTAAGTTGTACGGTTGTTGTACAGACTTACTTTTTTGCAAGATCCATAGTTGCCATCACACACAACTCTTTGTCTTCGTCTTTCAGGAGTGAAGGGGGAACCAAAGCGAATGTAGTGTTTAGGGGTTGTGCAAATATGTGGGTTGTGGCTCAGGCCTGGCAGCATGTTCAGTGTTGTTGCCAATACAGTAGGATCAGTTGTGATACGTAATGGTCGGTCATATGGGCATTCTGATCGCTCAACCTTGTCATTCAACCATTCTGTAACCAAATACTGAACCAAAAGATGGGGAAAAAGTTACAGCAAAAAGTAGTAAGTCATTTGAAGATTCCATACAAATTCTTAAGCTCCTAAAATGTATAATTTACCATGAGGCCTGTCACCAACGTATTTTGATCGAAACACTAAATTGTTGAATTCAGTCTAATTTGACATCTAAAAAGCAGCCAATTCCAATTTAACAGTAGGAAATTGGTTAGTCTTGATCACTAATTTTCTTAAGGTTTGATTTTAACTTGTATCAAAAAGGCATGAAGTACGAATAGGTGATTGAATTGAGCAACAGGTGCAATGCTAACAACCTAAATGGCAAAGAAATTAAGTTTTACAGTTATAATATGCATTATGGGGTTGGCCTATGACTAATGGAAGCTTCAAGTGGGTCCAACACCAATGCTGTTCGATTGTAAGGGACTGCCAGGAAAAAAACTGATCCATATAAAAGAAAAATAATTTGCAGCATCCAAGTTCCTAATTGGTGAGAAAGAATAGCAAATGTACTATAACTACCGGAAGGGTGTGGCTGCACTAGAGAGGATGCAGATTTACCAGGATGAACTGTCTCAGTTGGGAGGAGAGACTGGAGGGCTGGGTTTGTTTTCCTTATAGCGGGGGGGTCTGACTGAGGTGCACAAAATTATGAGAAGCATAGACAGAGTGGAACATGAGATTCCACGGTAGATGTTTCTAAGACCAGGGCATAAGTTTAAGGTGTAAAGTAAGTGGTTCAGAGGAGATTTGAGAAAAAAAATTCTCCCAAAAGGTGGTAGAAATATAGAATGTGCTACCTGAGGGATGGTACAGGCAGGTACCCTAGCACCATTTAAGAAGCATCTGGATGAGCACTTAAAATGCCACGGCATAGTAGGGTATGAAGAAAGTGAAAAATGGGATTAGTGCAGTTTGATATTTGTTGATCAGCAGTGAAATGGTGGGCCAAAGGGCCTGCTTCTCCTCTGCATGACTCTGCAACTCTATAACAATAAGGCACATTGTTTGATATGACTTTATCGCTAGGAAATATCAGGAAGGCTGGTCATTTGCACTCATGCTGGAATTATACCAGGTAAAGATAAATCTTTGTTGGTATTAAGATAAACAAGTTTAAAGAAAATGTCCAAATGTATCACTTTTAGAATCCTCAAAAGCACCGTTGAGCAGTCAAATACATTTCATGCATCTAAGCAAAACACTAATCAGGGAACTTATGGATTTTATTGATGAGATGAAAGAATATCATGCACATTAACATTCATAATTGCCATATATCAATTTGGTCACCAAATTACTTCAATACAAGATCAATTTTGGAATCATAATTTAAGAAACCTGTACAACTGAATTAAAAGTCTCAATTGTGCTTTAATAAAATAATAGATATGTGTAATTCATCAGGTTTTGGGGTGGTGGCAAATAAAATTTGTTAAACTGTCCAAAATTAAGGGAATCCAACTTTTTTCTATACATGTGATTGTGAACCTCTGGAACCTTTTACATTAAGCAGTCTAGGAGAGCGTGATCAGCCAGGTCACACTTACCCTTTTAGTTTTAGGATACTTGAGGTTGGTTCGATTTGTTTGGGAGGAAATAATAGTTCCCGACGTCGTCTCAACTCCTGGGGTTCCCACGCTTGTCACACCTTCTGCAGTTGTAGAGTCTGTCACAACAGCTCCTGTTGCTCCCTCCTCAACTGCTACAACCGGCGCTGGTTCTGCCTGGCTGCTTGCTTGTCGCTGTCGACGTAGTCGTTGTGCTGAACTGGAGCGATAGCGTGAGAACCGATTTTTGGGTCTGGGCTTGGTTGGTTTTGATGCAGGAGGTTTAGCAGGCTTCTCTGGAACTTGCTCCTATAAACAAAAAAATGTTCTTCAGGAAAACAGAATACGTCCTATAAGCTAAAAATTATTCACTGATGAATTTCTCATTGAAGTAATCTAAATGGGTGAACCAAGATAATCTAAGAGGAATTGTACTATCAAAGTGAGATTATTGGTAATATACTGAATAGACTATGAATATGATCAGTGACATCAAACTAAGAAAATAATAATAAAATAGAAGTGGCCTCCAGTCTTATACATTTTTTCAAAATGTGCGACACTCTCTTTCCTCCCCGACAACCTAGCCTTGACGTGGAGATGTCGATGTTGGACTGGGGTGGACAAAGTCAAAAGTCACATGACACCAGGTTATAGTCCAACAGATTCATTTAAAATCACAAACGTCCGGAGTGCCACTGCTTTGTCAGGTGAAGTCACTTCACCTGAGGAGCAGCGCTCCGAGAGCTTGTGATTTCAAATAAACCTGTTATTATAACCTGGTGTTGTAAGACTTTTAACCTTTTCCTTATGAAGCACCTCTCACAAGAAAAGCATAGACCAGTAATGGCCTTTCATCTGATTTATTTCTAACTTACAGCACTACAGAAAATTAGGAATTAAGCAGAACAGGGTGGAATGGAGACATTTTCCTAACTGCTTCAATGTACAGTCGGTTCTGATGTAATGTGTGTTTCTTCAACTCGAATTGGCTTTAACGTGATGGAAAAATTTAGACTGCTATTTGTAGAACGCAAACTTTCCTTACCTATATTAGCCATAATGCAATTCCGGCCCCAATAGTTTAAATGGCGCAGTTATTGTGCGATTTTCCTTATAATGCAAGATTGCACGAGAGCAGTACTATTACGTTATAACAGGACCGACTATACTGTACTACTATACCATAATTTAAATGCTGACTTAAGGACAATGTAGACTTCATTTGTAGACAGTGTAACTTCATTTCTGGGGTATGGATGTGAACCTAGAGAGTAATGGGATTGAACCAGAAAACGCATCAAACTCAGCTGGTGGTGAACACAAATTCTATTAATTTTAAAAACAGTTTACAATCACACTCAAAAGGCTTTTAAGATGGATGACAGCGAAATAAATACGCACACACATACACACACGAGCAAGAATGTCTGCACTGGACATGTCAGCGAGGCTGCCTGCATAAACATCACTCATTCTGAAGAATGTGAAGACAAATTTTCAAATGCTTGAATCTTTAGTGCTTGAAAAAGACTTCTAATGAATCTTTTAATACTAAAATAACAAGTGAATCACTAGGATTGGTACTCTTATATTATCAACTACTCTTTCTGAACTGTTCCTGATCAGCAAGAAAATTTAAAATACAATTCTTCCTAAAATATGAAGCTTTGAATGTACTGATCTTTCAGCATACCCCCATTGTTTTGTACAAATTTTATTTCCTTCCATTCCTTATGTATAATGCTAGGCATATTTCCCAACCATTGTCTTTTGAAATGGGAAATGATTACATTTGGCCTAATGACTACTTTGTGGCAGACAGTAAACAATCTCATCACCTTCAACCTGAAACAATTTCTCATAAGTATAATGGCATGTTTTGGTCGGAGGGGGTGTGCAGAGAGGTGGTGGTTGCTACTGGTGGTAGTAAGATGTGAAGAGAGAATCTTGGCTATGTTTTCAGTTGTGTAGTGGCCACACTTTGTTCACTCACTTACATGCCAATCTCACCAGATGTTACCAAGAAATCTTTTCAGTTTATCTCTGCAGTTTCTTTGGTAGACAGAAGGAAACTATGCTTTACTTTCATACATTTTAATACTTCTGCATCAGTACGTACAACGATGCCCATGCAAACGATCAAACTTCCTGACACTGTGATTAAAAATAAACCTTATGATAGAGGGTTTTGATAGTCAGCCATTGTTAGCGAGAATTTCCTAGCACATTTTTTAGAAACATGTGCCAGCATGGCACCTAATGGCTGATAACTGACACTACACAAATCGATCCATAAGAAAAAATCTTTAAATACTATCAATGATCTAGCCTCCACAACTCTGAGGTAGATATCTCCAAATATGTGCTACCCACTGGAAGGAATTCCTTCACAACTCAGTTTTAAATTAATATCTTCTTAGTCTGTAACTATGTCTCCCACGTTGAGATCTCCACACTTGGAACATTTTCTCAACATCTACATGTTATCTTAATTTTTTTCCCCTGAATTTCTATATGAAAATTAAATAAGGAACATTAAATACTGAATTTAATTTGTCTATTTTAATAGCAGGAAATACTCATCATATTTCCAACTCCTGATTTCAGTGAAAAAGACAGGAGTCAAATTTATATTTTCATTTTCTTTCAGATGAACAGCTCAGCATAAAGTCACTCAACGATTCCTTCAACTCAAGAAGTTTTTCTTTTATGTCCGTGCATAAAAAAGGGTGCAAGCAATGTTTTGACTCGTTAGTCTGCTTGTAAACCATATATCTCAAAACTTATTGGGTGTGTTTCTATGAAACCTGGCACACAGATAGGGCAAAGCCCAAGGGAGAACAGATGTAAACTTGGATAAAATGTAAACCCAGATCCTGGAATATTTTACTGGATTAACATAAAATTAACATTAGGAGGTAGATTTATTGTTTTAGAATGTTGCAGATTATTTCAGCTGTGTATGCATTTGTCCAAAATGTGAGCAGCTTTTTCAGAGCAGGTTCTGGATATGGGCTGATTTGAAGCCTCCCCAGTGAGATGGAAGATCCTAATGAAAATGCTGTTTTTCAGATTTCTGGTTTCAGAGCATCAACAAGGTAGGGAAAAGCCTCAAGGAAGTGATGTGATTGTAATCACACCCAGTTAACACAGCATGGTAGAGGTACGTACCCTATTTCTTCATTTATTTAAGAAAGTTAATTTATTTTTTTCTTCTCCTTACACACTTGTTACCAATTTCCAAATCAACTCTCTCAATATAGGAAATAGGAGCAGGAGTAGGCCATTCAGTCTTTCAAGCTGGTTTTGCCTTACATTACAATTATGGTTGATTTTCTACTTCAATTCTGTTGCCCATACTGTCACAAAAACCCTGAGTATCCAAAAATCTACTGCGTATTTTCTACAGAAAATGGTCCACTGTTGTGCTTCCACAAGCCCCTTGGGTAGAGAACTACAAAGATCTTTAACCATTTAAGTAATCTCTTATTTTAGCCTAAACAGTCCTGATTCTCAGACAGTTACTCACTATTTCTAGACACCCCAGCAAAGGCAAATATCCTGGCAATATTTACACCATCATGTCATTTTAAGAATTTCATATATTTCAATGAGATTAGCAATCAAGTTTTCCAAAATCCAGGGAATGTAATCTCAGTGTACTCGATCTTTCCACCCAGACAATCCTCTTAGCCCAGTGAACTCATCGCACGCCCTCCCTCTAAACCAGGTATGTGCATAATTTTAGAATGCCCATTCAGAAAGCCTTATATAAATTGTTAGCTAAGGATTTTGAGAAAGTGATGGTGTCATGGTATTCCAGAACCCAGGCTAATGTTCTGGGGTCATGGGCTCAAATCCCAAAAATCTGGAATTAAAAAACTAACCTAATGGCAGCACTGCTGATAGTTGTAAAACCCCATCTGTTTTACTGATGTCCTTTAGTGAAGGAAATCTGCCATCCTTACCTGGTCTAGTCTAAATATGACTCCAGATGTTCAAAAATACAATTAATTCTTAATTGACCTTAATATGGCCTAGCAAACCACTCAGGTCAACAACAATTAAGGATGGGCAATAATTAATGGCCTAACCAGTAATAACCACATCCCAGAACCAATGGAACATGGCAAAATAAAATTTCTGGTCCACTCAGCCCTCCTAAAGGCACAACCATATGCATGACATGAATGCTGTGCTGTAACAAGATATCAGTCAGCAGATAGCTTTTGTGATATCTGATTTTTCCTCTCTTTCCTGGGAAATGTACCAGGTATCTATTTCAATTATCATTTAAAAGGCTCATTTTCACATGTACCACCAAATATCGAGAAATTTTTTAAACAGCCAAAGTCTGAGAACTATAACATAGACTCACGTGTAACATTAGAAATTTAAGAGGCTCTCGCCTAAAAAGGTTATATCCATCCTCAGGTGTGTCACTTTAGGGGAGCAATTTTTAAATGGACTACAGATCCAAAGGCAGCATCATAGTAGAGAATTTCGAATGGCTTCCATCTAGATTTGATTACTGTTCACATTCAGTGCAACAAGGAAGGTTGTCAAATGTTAAGTTCATCCTCCCAAGTTAAAAGACACATCAAAAGTTAAACTAGTATCAGTATTTTTTTGACAGATTTATTGTATGTTACTTAAATAACTTGGTTTGTTAGACTACCCAAGTCACTGATGCACCGCTTCATTTTTGAGAGTTTTTAGACAAGTGCTGGTTGAACATCATCTGCTACAAACATGACAATTGTATTTCTACTTGACATTTCTGGCATGCCAGTAAAAAGTTTAGAACAGCACTTCAAACACTAACCAGATAACTTATCCAGATCTGAAGCAGATGGCAAGCCTCTCAGGTTGTCTTCCCAATCTAATTTTATATGCTTATTTTAATAAAACACATAACGATGTTTGTAGCTCCATTGTTTGAAAAATGAAAATCATTCTTGACACACCAATGAACTGACACTGGGATATTTTCGAGCAGGTACTAGCAATCTAGGATGTACAATTACCAAGTACATTGCACGTCTAGAGATGTGAACATTTCCTCAACCAATTTCCTTCCCCTAAAGTAAATACATCTGTAAACAGTACATGTCACAAAAACATGTCACATCAAGGGAGCTTGGAAATGTATTACTGCCTCTCAGTGTGATTTAGACTGACAGAAACTACTGCTTTACTTCTGCTGGAGAGGGGAAGAGCAAGACCACCTTGCTAGGCCATTTTCAACTGACTAAACTCCAAACAACAAAGCATGTTCGCTTGTTCTCTTCCCAAACTGCAAGCGCCTGAGCAAAGCCCATACACAATGAAGCACAGAACACCACTAAACAATTAGCACCAAAAATTCCTAACTTTCTCCTCTCCATGATGCAGCAATAGCACTAATAACCATTCTTGTGCTTCTTTGGCCCATTTGCCATTTAAATTCTCTGCTTACCCCTAGCTGTGAAGTTCGCCGTGTGTTTACCCCTGTAAGCTGTGGTGGTTTTGCCCCATTGGGCGGCGGTTCTTCTGCTGCAGGCTCCAGTTTCACCTCCTCCACATCTGTGGTTGGAGTCTCCGGGTTGACATCGACACCAGGCTGACTAGCACTGCGCTCAACCACCTGTTCACGCCTTCTCTTTCTCTTCTCTAAGTTTTCAAATACCTGCATGATGGCTTCCATCTTCCGCTGCTCCCGCGACTGTGAACAATGAGCGTCAAAGAAAACAAAAAACATAAACAAACCACGCAGAGGATCAAAATCTTACCTTCAACAACTTATTTCCTCTCCTACCTCTTCATGTGCAAACACAGTGTTCAATTCCTAGGTGTCAAACCATTTGTCTGTATCACCACACTTATAAAATCATAAGCACCCTAGCTTACAGTATTGCTGGCAAAGTATTCTTTCTACCATCCTTTTCTTGTCAATATCACTATGTCACTATATTTTTCGGAATCAATTCTAGCTTATTGCGGCTGCAACAAAAACAAAGTGCACTCAAAAAAAGATAAAAATATTTCTTCCCCCTTCCAACTTGAAACAGCAAGTACACCCACTGAAATACCAGACTTATTTTTTTGTTTGATTGGCCCCAAAGATTGCATATTTCACATTTCAAGCAGTAGAACTGTGCCAATTCCAACATACAGTTTTCTAAGGAGTTAAAGCTCTTCTTTCCACGAAAGTTCAAGAGGCTAACGCGCCATATCCATTTACAGTGGCATTCCCAAGCGGTAAGCACGCTATGTTCTGTCCAATCTGGCACTCTCAAGTGGCAAATTCTCCATGCAGATCAAATTCTCAATACTTCAAAATTTTGAGATACAAGATCCGCCAAATTGTGCCGAAGATTGGATTCTGGACTCTTGTGGGCTCTCTGAAATTTGTAACCTCGATGAAATCCTGAGACCTTGACTGCTCTCTAGAGTTTATTATGTTTTAATTTATCTAAAATCAAAGGTTTTTCACTTGACATGTATAGCAAAGGTTACGAGCACAACAATGTACATTATTAAGTTTTTAAAGTGGTTGAAGGGGTCAAGTCTATAAAGATCATATAAAGAGGAATAGTCTTCAAACAAGCATATCTAATAAGGTTGGTTGAAAATGCAGACCTAATATATGGCAGTAAATGGCTGTTGATAGTATCTTACAAAGCTGCACCATTCAAAGATATCAATTAAATACAAACTGGGATTAAACAGCAACAGGTTAGTTTATCCAGCTCTGTGCTTTGCAACCTTCTGCACATTTTAAGGGAAAACAATCCCTTAGATCTTGCATTGGTTGTACAACATGTCACACTGTGGGACTCCAATGTGACCAAGAGGGATTTTAAATATGATACAGGAGCTGGGTTTTCATGTTGTCAAATGACAAAGTTTTTTTTTAAAATGTATTTTTTTTTGATGTAGGAGCAGAAGGCCATTCGGCCCACTGAGTCCACTTTGCCATTCAATGAGATCATGGCTAATCTGCTAATCATTAACTCAAATACGATAGATGGACAGGAAGGTTATGTCTATCTAGAAAATCCATCTATCTTGGCCTTCACTGTACTTAACGACTCAGATCTGACTGGTCTCAATGGTAAAGAATTCCACAGATTCACAAAACCTTAAAGAAGAAAACTTCTCTGTTACCAGATCCAGAACAGCCTGATCCTGGGTTGGATCCACAACATATTGTTCGAGGAAACTATCCCAAACACACGCTGTGAATTTTTCCTTGCGTCTACTTCTGCCAATTTAATTTTCCTAATCTACATGAAGATTAAAGTCACCCATAATTAACATAATCATATCAGTATATATAAAAAAATTCTAATGGTGTATCAATCTAGTATTTATTATGTCATGATACATCAGGTTGAAATTAACACATCTTCATATATACAATGATATACAGATGATGCTCGCCAGAGGCAAACTGCCCCTGCACACCCCAGGACTGAGGTGTGATTGTTAATCTCTCTCTTGAATAGATACAACACGTTTACAAAGGAATTAATAAAGCTTTAATGATCTGCACATATCCTGCCGATTATTAATAAACCTATTTAATACCTTTACCAGTTCAGGAGCGGTAAATTGAGTTGACCATAGGGGGCAATTCCCCAGTAGATGCTGATTTCCCAAAGCTGGACAGAAAAGGAAATCAGTTGAGATTTAGGAGTGTGAGGCTGGAAAAGCACAGCAGGTAAGACAGTAGAGGAGCAGGAAAGTCAAAGTTTCGTGCCAAAACCCTTTGTCAGGATGTTTCAGGCCTGATGAAGGGTTTCAGCCCAAAATGGTGATTTTCCTGCTCCTCTGATGCTGTCTGACCTGCTGTGCTTTTCCAACCTCATACCTATAGACTCTGGCTTCCAGTATTTGCAGTCCTTATTGTCTCCGAGATTTACGTAAAGGTTGGCTACGTGTATGGTAGCTGTAGGTGGGAATAATGACTGGCATTAGGAAATTAATGAGAATAGAAAATAACTTCATAGAATTATATAGCAACAATAGTCAGTTGATCCATTTACCTATGGTAATTAATTAGTTTGATACTCTTGGTTTTGTCCCATTGCTCTATATCTTTTACTTTAGAACATAATATCCAAGTCTTGATTCAAAGTTACTATTGCATCTGCTTCAAGTACCCTTTTATAAAATGCATTCCAGTCATAACAACATGCTGCATGAGAAACCTTAAATCTGTGTCCTCTAGATATTGATCCTACAACTTGAAGAAACGACCAGTCTCTTCCCTACCTACTAATCAAAATCCATCAATTTATTTTGGCTGTGTCTTTAAAGGGGAAAAATTGTTTTTTTTAAGATAGGAAATCAGCAACTGAAGAGATCGATTTCTCATTTAAAAACCTGTTTGTCTCTTGATCTATTTCCTATTTCCAGATTTCCCATATCTGCAGTATTTTACCTTTGAATTAGACAGATCAATTCAGCTAACAATCAGCGTAAATGATACATAATCGAATGAAATGCCTCAAGACAGCTACAGCTAAATACAATAACCAAAAGCGGGGGAAAAATGTATCTACCTCTGGAGCAGGCAGTCATGTTTCCAATGCATCATCTATTCATGCAGCAGCAAACATCACCTGCAAACAGCAGCTCAACGTCCCATTGGCAAGATCAGGATGGACCTATTTGCTATAGACCTATTAAACTACACATAGCATGTGTAAAGAACAGCAGAACTGGATTATATTAAACATAAGGCGGGATTCTAATCACATTAGTAGCTGCAATTTTTTCTGGAAGGGGGCAAGCAGGGAGAGAATACAAAGCAAGTTAAAAACGGCCAGAGTTTAGCAGTAGGATAGTTGTGGTTCTGGACTCTCATTCCAGAGTTTCAATTCAAATCCTACAATCACATGGGAAACTTAATACAATAAAATTCATAGAATCTATAGAATTCCTACAGTGTGGAAACAGGCCATTCAGCCCAACAAGTCCATATTGACTCTCCAAAGAGCATCCCACCCAAATCCCTACCCTATCACTGTAACCCTGCATTTCCCATGGCTAATCCACCTAACTTACACATCCCTGAACACTACAGGCAATTTAACATGACTAATCCACCTTACTTGCACATCTTTGGACTGTGGGAGGAAACCTACGCAGACACACGGAGAATGTGCAAACTCCACACAGACAGGTGCCCAAGGCTGGAATTGAATCCGGGTCCCTGGCACCGTAAGGCAGCAGTGCTAACCACTGAGCCACTGTGCCACCCCCAAGTCTTTCAACTTATGATCTAACATCAAGGGAAAATGATGAAGAAAGTTGTCAAGATCACATCCTTCAGAAAAGGAATGCAACTCTAGTCCAATAATATTTGGCCAATTTTTATTATCTTCTGAAGTAGCCTAATAGACACCCACCACTGTCACAGGACAATTAGGGATAGATAATTAACAGTGTTCCAGTGTTGCTCACATCTAAAAAGGTAAAGTAACTACAGTTCTACTGGACCATAAGGCCACTCTCTCATGACAGAGACACATGACCGATGGTGATTTTAACCCAAGCATCACCACACCTCAGGCAAAGGGACAGGTTGAGAAGTAGAAAGATGCTATTGGCATTACTCTGCAGACCACCCATCCAGCCAACTGAGCTAATAAATAAAAAACAGAAATGGGTTTATAGGATCGTGTCTGGGTATAGGCTGAGGGGTTCCAGGTCTTCCAATGAGCCACAATAGATAGATCAGTTATGTTTTGATTGGCATCTAAATCAGTCAGTCAATCTGTTTAAATATGTTTGCTTAACTGAATTAAATGCACTAACAACCGGCATTAAAATCCATGTTGAAAGTGACATAACAAACTAATCGATCTAGCCTATTTATCACAGTTAGATCCATGTTGTCGGTGTCAACATGGATACAAATCCATATACATCAGATATTGTTTCAGCTATATAAACACACCCATCAGTTAAGCTCCTGTGCTGATCAACTACACATATTCAAAAAGACACAGCCTTTTGCTGAAAACTTTTCCAGTAATGTCAGGGATCATCAGGTGTGATTCTCTCAACTGAACTCCCTGTTATTTCTCCTGCTGACACATTGTTTTCCCTGTGAAAACACATTCTCTATCCTTTCTCCAATACGTGATAATCTCAGCTATGCAAACCCATTTTTCTCTCTGCAAAACACAGCCCCTTGTACAAGCACTCTGATCTTTCTTTCCCCATAGCTGATGATTATCCTACTTAGGAACATATTATTCCCTCCAATCCTTTGCTCACACACAGCTTCACAAAACAAATGCACCATTTTCCTGCCTGCGCCTAGTTTGCCTGCGGTCAAAGTATTTTCTGCTGTACTGCGCTGCTAAGTCCATGACATCCGGGTGCATGACTTCTAGCTGCTAAGACATTCCTTGCCTGCACATTATGACTGCCTGTCACTTACCAGTTTACTTTGTGCTATTGCACGGAGCTGTTCATCCATTTCTGACTCGTTTTCTTCTTCTACTTTTAATCGATCTCCTTCTCCAGGCCCTTCCTGTTTAAAGAAAATGAAGTCAGTGCAGTGAATAGTATTGTACATAAAAGCCTGCACCCCAATTATTATACATTGATATGATGTAGTTCAATGTCATCTGTGAAATATAAACTAATACTTTACTGCCCACAATGACATCACTTTTGTCACAGCCCTTCCTTGTGACATCATAAAACAATTCAACTACCTACATTATTAAACTTTGCCTGAAACAAGTGCCTGCCTTTTCATGAATATCTGATATATAAACAAAATAGCACTTTGATGAGCAGGGATTAACTTTTAAATGTAACGCTATAAGTTGCAGGCATTCTTTTCAAATGCCAGAAAAAGTGCTTTAGGTTGCAAGCTTTTGCGTTATGCGCTCTAACCCCTGAGATAAATCCACATTCTTTGCTATTTTCCTCCACAGGATATATATGTTTACCAGGTATAATTTTGATCAAATTTATTTAACTAATTTCTGAATAATAAATGTGATTACAAAGGTTTTGTTGCGTTGAGTCCACTCGCTGAATAATTAAGTCCACACAGTTCCCAACATTGTTCAAATTGGTGTAATTGGAAGTAACTTGTTTTTACTAAAAATGATTTAAGCTCGAGGCTGATCACCAAGTCAAACATTCTGAAGGTGTTTCAACATCAAGCAATATCATTATCAGAGATAACCCTTACCTTTGCAACTTTTTTTTGTAATGGAATGAGATTTGTACAGTATAATGGATCGCAGAAATTTGGTTACGACAGCTAACGATGAGCATATTCTAACACTTCATTTTAGATGCATGATAGGACAACAGATATTCAAATAAATTCATAAAGACACGGTTGAGTGTATGTTTTGGGTAACTCAATGTTATTGCAACATCATATTACATTTTCTTCTTTCAATGCAAAGGTTTTACTTCCTTTTCATCCAAACATAGAAGGTTGTTGCACTTACAAGCAGGTTCACAAACCAACTAAGGACCACTGTGTTAACACGTGTGCCTCCCAATTAATCTACAACTAAGATCCAGACCAATTCCTCGACTTTGTCCGGAAAGAAAGAGGAGCTTCAAGTCACTCATTTAACAAGAATGGACAGGAAACATGCATTCACACCTAGTTTGCAAATTTCCACTTTGAGATCCTACAGAGATGCCCGATATGTGATACCTAGGTGGTGTTAGCCCATATCTTACTTTCCGACACATGACCTGAATTATAACAGGCAGCTCTTCATCATAAAAGTGACAGTACATGTATCCACACAGGAGCTATCTTTCTAACAGCCTAAAACTTTGTTGAAGGTCTTGGAGGGAACTGCCATTCAATCTGAGCTGCTCCACCAAAGTCCCTACCCATGTGTTATCAATTTCAATGACATACTGTTGTTGTAGAGGAGGATCTGCACACTAAATTTATTAAGTGGGAGGGACATACTGAGTGGCAGTGGATTGGACCGAGGAGAGACCTCATCGCATTCACAGGTGCATTTAAAACCTTCTATGGCAGTGGAAAGTGCAAGGATATCCTCCTACTATTAATAAAAACAATTTGATGATGATTCATAATTTAACTTTCATTCACATACGTATAAGTGACTGTGGGTCTTTGGTACAGGTGATGCCTCTGTCTGAAGAAAGCACTTGAGCTATCTGGTCACACTAGGTTATCCAGTGTCATTCCATAGGTTCAGTTCAAAACAGTCGTAAGTTCAAATCACAAGCATATTATATGCAACCCTGAAACATGATTCTGTGATAATCATATCATCCCTAAGCATAAAATGTGTTTTCTTGTGCATTTCACAATATCACTTGCATTACATCAGATACATGAAACAAATGGGTTAATGGCAGGATTCTTGGCAGTGCGGAGGAACAGAGAGATCTTGAGGTCCACGTCCATAGATCCCTCAAAGTTGCTAACCAAGTTGATAGGGCTGTTAAGAAGGCGTATGGTGTGTGGCTTGCATTGGCAGGGGAACTGAGTTTAAGAGCCGTGAGGTTATGCTGCAGCTCTATAAAACCCTGGTTAGACCACACTTGGAATATTGTGTTCAGTTCTGATCACCTCATTATAGTAAGGATGTGGAAGCTTTAGAGAGGGTGCAGAGAAGATTTACCAGGATGCTGCCTGGACTGGAAGGCAGGTCTTATGAGGAAAGGTTGAGGGAGCTAGGGCTTTTTTCATTGGAGAGAAGAAAGATGAGAGGTGACTTGATAGAGGTGTACAAGATGATGAGAGTCATAGAATGGAATGCCAGAGACTTTTTCCCAGGGTGGAAAAGACTATTACAAGGGGGCATAATTTTAAGGTGATTGGTGGAAGGTATAGGGGAGATGTCAGTGGTAGCTGGTGGGTGCGTGGAATGCGCTGCCGGCAGTGATAATGGAGTCAGATACGTTAGGCACATTTAAGCGACTCTGGATAGGCACATGGAGGATAGTGAAATGTAGGGTATGCAGGGTAGTTTGATCTTAGAGTAGGATAATAGGTCGGCACAACATCGTCGGTACAACTGTGCTGTTCTATGTTGTAAATGGAGTAACTGGGATTTTGAGACACACTGATATGTAGAAGTCAACAGAACTTCAAGCCAAATAGTATTTCATATCAATCCTGCTAAATCTGCAGTGTTAGTTGGTTGTGCATACAGGAGGAGGAAAAATATAACATTGAAATGTTCCAGATCATTAGCTGAGCACCAAAAAAAACCCTGAACTAGCTTAAGCTGATAGAGCTTGATATTACTTTCAGTATGTGAACTTGTTAGAAAAATTAATAGGTTGCTTCATACATCAGACTTCTTTTAAAATGCTGTTTACATTTTTCTTTCCTCTAGTATTTTGCTCCTGTGCAATTCTTTTGCTGTTTTCAACTTTGCTGGTGAATTATACCCTTCACCTTCTTTCAATTTATGGGGTAAAAAAGCTAACATGATTTAGTTTATCAGCGATTGAGATGCATTTGTAAGTGGGCAAGAGCACAATTTTGCTAATTATATGTGCCTCATGTGCATCTGGAGAAAACTGTAACATGGCGGTTTTCTTCTGTTAACGTCTGTATATGCTTACCTCACTGTCACTTGCTGGGATTTGTACAGGTAACTCCTGTTGGTCTTTGGATTCTGCTGGCTCCTCCTGCTGTTGGTTGCTATTTTCATCAGAAGCTTGATTGAGCTCTGACTCCATTTCCCATTCTTTTCGTCTGGCTTTTCTCCGCCGCGTCTCTGCACCTACTGGGGACTCCATTGATCCTTGGTTATGTTTCTGTACTGGACAATTCTGGTTTCCCTTATGACACGCACAGTCAACTTTATATTTACTATGATGAAGTGAATAATATAAAAACTTAATTATATATTATATTAACCCTTTCGGTTTTATTTTGATTATCACAAGTAGAAAATAAATTCAACTAATTTTCCCTAAATGCACATTATACATAAGCTCACAAAGCTGTGAAATGCATAGGAAAAGTAGGCAAATCCAAATTTCATGCAAGATACTATGTGCTATTCAAGGGGGATTACCTAATCCCAGAAAAGTTCAGAGTTCATATGGTTAGATCTGAGGAAGTCTCAGGGTAAGAATATTCTAATAACTCAAGACAATCAGGTACTAACAAATAATAATCATTAACCGTTTGACCCCCAAACACCTCCCATCCCTTCTTCTGGCTGTTGAAGCATCCCTACCAAGTTACTGAAACTATTCCTGATTTAGAAAGTTAGCCCATTCCAAGATTTTTCTGGTCTGAGCCTCCTTGCCTCTACCACCCCTTCACCCTGGCATATCCTCCGTCCCGCACAAGAAAGATTTTGCTAAGTGCTGCTTTTCCCCTCCTCTCTTCCTCTTTCCCCATCGTCTCCAGTCACTCCCCTGGTCTCAAACGTTAAACAACGGTTTGTACCCTATTTGAATCATGTACCACTAACTAGTCTTTCTAAAAAATGACTAGCATAAGCACCAAGCCTTTTCTGTACAACAGTGGTTCTGATAAAGCTGATTTTACTTACCAGCTGCTGTATTCATAATCAAAGCCAATGGTCACCTCATTGTCCTTTGGGATGTTTGTGATGGCATATATACAAAGGTGGATCATCCCATCAGCAATCATGTGCCGCACCTAGGGGACACAGTATTCATGTTGTAGCTCGTTTCTTTCTCTCTTATGAATCTTAACTAGGTCAAACCCAATTTATCCCATTTGCTGCCTTCACATTTTTGTACAGTTTTTCTCGGTTAGCTGAATTTGTGCCAAGGGGTTACCAATGTAAGAATATAAATAGGGGCTATAATTCTCGCCAAAAACACTGATTAAACTTGAGTAACTATCATAAAAAAATTATGCAACCATGGGGGTGGTGGTTGAGGAGGGGTGATGGGGAAGATTGTCAGTGGTGTAATGTCAATGTTACTGAGCTCATAATCTGGAGACTAATGCTCTGAGGATGCAGGTTCAAATCTGGTTTGCTAGTATCCCTTCAAGAAGACAATCTGCCAACCTTAGATGGTCTGACCTAACTGCAACTCAGGACCCACAAAAATGTGTTTCACTCTTCATTTCCCTCAAAAATGGCCTGGCAAGTTATAAAGGTAAAGGTAAAGTTGCCATACTCCCAGAGGACCAAAGGGCTGCTCTGCTATTAAAGAGGTATATCTTTTTAACCTGAGGGCTACCACACTTCAGGCGAGGTCAGGAAGGCAAGACCTTCATGATGATCTCACTCAGAACAGGAATTGAACTCGTCCTGTTGGCGTCACTCTGCATTAAAAACTAGCCACCCAGCTAACTAAGCTAACTGATTCTGTGGTGATTATGCTACTGGATGTTGGTATAAAGTTAAACAACTTTAACAAAGACATTACATTACCAGGGATTTTATTTTAATTCCCATGATGTTTTCAAATACTGAATATGTTGTCACTGGAGGATTATAGTGCAATTTATGTTAAAAAGTGCTATGTCAGTTAAATCTGACTGTCAAAGAGCTTTAGAAAAACAGAACAGTACACAATGAGACTTACAGATTCCAGTGACCGTTAGCACCAAATACAGCAAATGATTCAGATGATTTTTGAGAGCTTAGAACAAGATGTCTGTCTACAATAAACTTTGAAAGATGGAAGAATTATTTTGAATGACGAGTCTGCTGAATGGAGGAGCAAGCACAGGTCCTGCTCAAAACTATATGAACAAGAGGCACGGTGCATTCAGTCAGCCAGTTAGCTTGATCTAGAAGAAAGCCTAACCTTGGGAAATGCAAGTTCATTCATCTGAAACCCTGATCTGATTTAATTCCAACGGATGATCAAAAAATTTTAAACAAGATTGTTCGATAAAAAGATAGTTTTGCTAATTTGCATTGTTTTCCTTCTGTTGAATTAATTAAACCAAGATGAGATTTGCTTTGCATTTTTTTTAGAACTGCTGTCTATAAAACAAAGTAGATTAACAATTTGTTTATGGTGCCTTTTAACTACAGTATGTCTGTCTATCTAGAGAAAAATAAGTAGAGTGCTATGAGTCACAGGTGAAGCCACATTACCTGTTCTGATCATTCAGGGCTCTTTCAGTTACGTCTCTGGGATACATCATTTTTAATATTCATTCATTGAACATGGGTTTCACTGGCATGGCCAGCATTTACTATACATCTCTAATTGCTTGAGAAAATGCATGATCAGACAATGGGCATGTGACAGGTGGTTAAACCTGAATTCACATAAAATCTGCAATAAATAAAAGCTAGCCTAATTGTGATCATGTAAGCACTACTAATTGTCATTAAAAACCTCTCTGATTCACTAATGTCATTTTGGTGAAGGAAATCTGCCATCTTTACCTGGTCTGGCGTATATGCAACTCCAGACTATAGTTGAGTCTTAAATGTCTTCTGGGCAATTATGGATAGGCGATAAGTGCTGGCCTAACCAGTAACATGCAGATCCCAAGACAACAAGGTGTAGAGCTGGATGAACACAGCAGGCCAAGCAGCATCAGAGGAGCAGGAAAGGGTCTAGACCC